GCCGAACGGTCTCACGCGCGCCCCCACCCCCCCCACCCCCCTGCGCGCTCTTGCGCGGAGCGCCCCCCCCCCCAAAAAAAAAAAAAAAAAAACTCTTTTCCGCAAGTGCTGAGTACTGCGTGCGAAATTAAAGATGGCCAGGGCAAGGTTCTACATGTGGCCTCGGCGGGGGGGGGGGGGGGCGCGTATATCTGTCGTCTGCAAGGGCCCGCGCGCGCGCGTGCAGGGGGGGGGGGGGGGGGGAATCGCCGCGAGGGGGGCGATGGAGAGGATGGTGGCAGGGCGACCCGGTAATCCTGGCGTTCGCACGTGCCCCACCCCTCCTCTCTTCCCCCCCCCCCCCCCCCCCCTCTGATCGCGACGCTCCGAACGCTGGGGGCCCCGCGAAACCCCGCGCATCAGTGCCCTAATGGGGAGGGGGGGGAAGGGGGGGGGGGGAGCGCAACATCTGAGCGAGAGCCGCGCCATCCTTGTCACGCCATCGCGCGGCTTTATCACGGGCGACGCTAGCGGCGCGAGCGGGAGCAGCGCCCGCGCCACATGCGACGGCTCTAATTGCGTAGCAGTGGTGCTGGTCAACGCGATTGCGCTGATGATGTTGTTGGTGGTGACGGCGGCAGTGGCGATGATGGCGGCAGTGCTGGTGAGGTTGATGTGGATGGTTACGTTGATGGCACTGCTGGTGATGGTGTTGATGATGCGACTGATGATGGTGTTGATGGTGATGGTGCACATGGTGGGGATGGTGATGATGATGACGATGCTGATGCTGCCGATTGAGAGAATGATGATACAAATGATGTTGTTGTTTATGAGGTGATTGGTAATGCTGGTTATTATGAACACGATGATGACGATGAAGCTGATCCTGTTGCTGATGCTGCTCGCAACGATGAATGTGATTACACGTTCTCGTCTCTGCAATGTCGTGGGCTCGACCCACCGCCAGCGAGTGCGCCGTGCTATGGGATGCCACGCGCACCCGAGCCCGCAGGAGGTGGGAAGAACTGCTTGACTGTAAGCTGGCGATTTGAAGTCCGATCGAGGTTCTTGAATGAGAGCTGTTCGCCCTTCTGGCCATTCACTTTCAGACCGTCGGGGGCGTCGCCCGGCATCTCACGCGCGCGAGTCGCGTAGAAGTTCCGACCGGGCTTGACGTCATCCCCCGCCCCCTTCGCCAGCGCGACTAGGATTTTGCTGGCTGGGTTGGTCGCGCCGTCGGAGTCGCTCTCGGCGTTCGGATCGATCGCGCACGTTCTTGCCAGGCTCGAGACCGATGGTATTTTTTGCCGCTTCAGGGGGCAGCGCCTGCCCCGCGCGCGCAATGTCGCCCACGCTGGTCGCCTCCTTGCGCATGTCCGTCTTGCCGCCCTCGTCGTCGGCCCCCATCGGCCCCCCCGGCCCCCTCGGCCCCCTCGGCCTCCTCAGCGCCCCCATCGCCGTCGTCATCCTCGGCAGCCGCTTCCTTTGCAGCTGGCGGTGCTTTAGCCTTGGCCTCGGCCTTTGCGGGCTTCTTCTCGGGCCCTCCTTGACCTTTGCATTCGCACTCTTCCTGCCTTGGGGCTTGGCGGCTGGCTTGGGCAACGCCAGCTACAGGCCAGTTGCGCCGAGGTGCGCCGTGGGAATCTCCGCATCGAACGCACTGAAAAGTCATATGCCGCAGCCTGTCCCTGGCTCATCCTACGCGGCACAGCTAAGATTGATGACGCCCCTGTCGCGGGCACCACAGATGGCCCCGCGACATAGTCGACGCGGGCAGCTCTAGCAAGGTTGCAAGCGGCGGCGATGTCCGCTCGCGCGATGACCCTCCAAGTTTTGCCGCAAGGCCGCTCTTTCGGAGCCCCTGAACACTCGCGCCCCCGTCGCCAGTGACAGCCCAGGGAAGTTAAAGAGCACGCAGAAATCCCGCGCGACGGCGGAACCATTCTAACCTCTCATGCCAAGGCTACAACGCGCATGAAACGCCACGGCCAGAATGAAATGCCCGCGAGAATGAACCGCGCGAGCAGCGAATCCATCCGTGCACCTGTCACCGGGCACCCGTCGCCCGGCGCCCGCCGCTTTGGCCGCGGCAACTCAAGGGGCGCGCAAACTACGACGGGACAATTGAAACTCACCTCCCACGCTGGCGCACCCCTCCTGTCCTGCGGAGCTCTCGTTGCCGCCCCTTTGCCCAGTGGCGTTTGCAGCGAGGCGAGACCCAAACGCGCGCGCCCTCGCACCCTACTTGCGAAGAGTCGACGCAGAACGAACGCGCGCTACGATAAGAGCGAACAGGTCGCACCGCGCAGCGCGCCGCCCCGCGACGACTGCGCCCCCCCCCCTCCCGCGCAAGAAACGCTGGAATAGAACAGCCCGGAGACGTTCCCCACCCTCGTCTTCGACCTCAGAGTGCCGAGGCGGCTGTCCAGGCGCGAAGGATAGTCGCTCCGGCGCCTTGTCCTTTCCAGCTTGCTTGCCCTTCTGCAGCGGCGTCTCCGCCTTGAGCTCGGGCTCCGACGGGCGCCGAGCGCCCGCCTGCACCTCGACCGCCTCGGACGCCTTGGCAGACGCATCGCCCGGCGAGGCCGACGGGCCACCGGCGCCGCCGCAGTCGCGGGGGCGTCTTGGACAGGGCCGCCCTCGGCGATTCCCTGCGCGCCTCTGCCAGGCATATCCAGCGCCTTCTGCGCCTGCGCGACACTTCTTGGACATCCTTGAAGCTCACTTCTTCTTCTTCTTCAGTAGCCACCGGCCGCAGCCCCGTGATCGGAAGTCTTTTCGAGCTCCAGGGTCTCCAGGGAGCCAGGGAAGGCCTGGTCTTAGACGACCTGGAACAGCTTCGGTTCGCCGTCGTCGTCGGCGGGCTTCGCGGCGGCCTCAGCTCCAACGCTCTCGGCGTGAGCCATGGCCAGCGCGACTGCGCGCCGCGCCCACGAAACCTCGGCCAAGAGCATGGCTGTGTACCGCTCCGTTATCTATGCGACCCTGACCGCCTTCCTCAGGCGCACAAGGTTGGACGCAGCTTGGTCGCACTGAAGAGCAGCATCTCGAAACACTCAACCTAGTCACCGTATCCTGCAGCGAATTCCGAAGGTCCAGGTTCTCCGCTACCTCGGCGGCCCTCTGGAACAGGGTGGTCACGGCCTCCTTCTCGTCAGGCTGTTAAGTGTCGCCTTTCCCCTTCCCACGCTTGCCTCTGACCGCTCCACCAAGGGGGGGCACGCTGCGCGAACGGAGGACCCCCCCTTGGGATGCACCAGTGAAGCGTCCTCATGGTGCGATCACAACCTGGTCGCCGAACTGCACACGAGCATCCACTCTACGAGGCTTGAACAGCTTACTGGTGGTTTGGCAGCCCGTGCGCTTGCATACTTGTTGCACGAACACGTCGTTATATTCGCACTTGCTGCGCCCGCGTCCGAGCGCGGAATCCTCGCGAGCTCGCTGCTGCTTTGGGTGTTTTCGCGTGCTACGGTCGGTGCCGCACACTCCTACGGCACGGCGTGGGTGGGCAAAGTGTTTTAAACGCTACGTGAAAGTTCAGGAGAATGAGCACCGCCAGAATGGTTCGGGTCCTGTCGGCTTGAGAGGACGAGCGAGCGAGCGACCTATCACAAGCGCGGGCCAGCGACCAGCGCCAGGCAGTGGACAAGGCAGAAGCAGGAGGATGGCCGGAAGTGCCAAACCTCCAGCCTGGGAGGGCATCCTCACGAGGACGCCCACAAGGGACAGAGGAGGAGGGAGGAGGCCAGCTCAGGCCCCGGCGGCCCTCGGAGGAGCAGAAGCAGGCGGAAGGACGAGACGGATTGCAGCGCCCTTCAGTGTAGCGATCATGCCATGAGCTCGGAACTCCGAAGAAGAGGAAGCGATGTTTGTTGTTCGCCGCGGGTTTAGCACAAAGCGTGCTCTGACGGTTGGGCCTCATGCGGCCCAAGCCTGGACAACAAACAACGGTGCGAAGACAAAAGGAACCATACCTCGAGGAGGAGAAGGCGTAGGAAAGGGGAAAGAGGGAAAGAGAGGAACAAAGATTGGAGCTGTGGAAGGAGGACAAACGGACCCTTCGGCCGTTCGAGGGCTTCGTGTTGGGATGAGCGAGGAGGAGGCGTAGGAGGAGGAGGAGGAGGAGGAGGAGGAGGAGGAGGAGGAGGAGGAGGAGGAGGGGGCGGCGGGAGGGAGGGAGGGAGGAACGAGGGAGGAGGGCAGGAGGGAGTGGCAAAGCCGACCATGTAAAATCGTGTCTCAGGCAGTGGCGAAGCGTCCTGGCTTGCCTATAGGCCCACCACGGAATGTTCTAAGAACCTTTTGTGGTCTGCACGAAATGTTCTTAGAACATTCCTGGCCGAGAAAGTCTTGTTTTGACAGATCGGGCATATGTTCTAAGAACAGTGCTTCGGTTATTCGAGCACCTTCGTGTTCTAAGACCATGTCGTGGTAGGCCTATAGGAATGCTGGGACGGTTGGTCCCTGCTTGAGTGTCGTCGTCCTATTCGTCGTTCTCCTCGTCGTCGTCGTCCCTTGAACTCGTGTCGTCGCCCTCCTCTCGGGCGTTGGCAAAAATGGTTTTAGTGGAACCTGGTTTGGTGATGTGCACTGGGGGACGCTCCCCCCCCGCCCCGTGCCACTAACAGGAACTGCCGTCACCCGAAAAAAACACCAGCGCCGGCAGACCTGGCGATTAATGATTCTGGCCACTTCAGGGGCTCCGGGGCCCTACCACTAACCAGGTCCCCTTGCCTGGGGTCCTGGCTATTTGAGCAGGGACCGACCGTCCCGGCATTCCTATAGTCATACCACGGAATGTTTTTATAACCCAAAAAGGTTCTAAGAACAAAAACAATGTTCTTAGAACATAAACCCGATGTGCGACAAGACAGTCCCAGCCAGAACTGTTCTAAGAACATTTCGTGCAGACCACAAAAGGTTCTCAGAACATTGTTTGGCGGGACTATAAGCGATCCGCGACGCTTCGCCACTGCTTGAGTCCTCCTCACCGTCGCCGACGCGCAGCGCCCCGCCTTGCCAGGCAGCGCCCCGCGGCGCGCGGCGCCGCCGCGCACAGCGATCCACGGCGGTAGCCGCAGGGGCCCCGCGGCTCCGGCGGCGGCCGCCGGCGCGCCGCCGCCGCGCGCCGCGCTGCCGGGGCGCGTGGCGGCCCCGGCGGCAGGCGCCTGCGGCGGGCGGCGGCAGTGCTCAGTCGGAGAGGCGTGTAAGCCTCGGGTACGGGGGAAAGAGAGGAGGAGGGAGGAGGAGGAAGAGGAGGAGGAGGACGAGGAGGAGGAGGAAGAAGAGGAGGAGGAGGAGGAGGGGGCAGAGGTATGGGTACATGTCGGGGAGACGTAAGACTCGGGTTCGAGGGACTCGGGTTGGCCTGACGGGGCCATCACGAAAATGACTAGGCCCAATCTGAGATTTGGCGCGAGCTCCCGCTGCAAGCATCCCACGACAATAGGACCGTCAAAATCCGGGACGCGCTCGCCAAACAACTTCGGCTAACCCGAGGTCCGGCTTGCTCGAGTCTCACGTTTCCCCGACCAAGAGCTCCGAGCCCACCCAGAAAGAGGTCCGAACGGGTGGGGCCCTCCCTGTTCTGCTCCCTGCTCTGCACCGGGCAAGCAGGAGCGACGAGGCTCTCGCGTTCACGTGGTCCCCATCCTGACCCTCGCCCCTCCCTCCCTCCTCCCTCCTCTTTTCCTTCCCCCCTCTCCCTCCCGCCCGCCCATCCCACTCTCCCCTCCCGCCAATCCCCTCCTTCTCTTCCGACGCTCCCTCCAAGCGTTCCCGTGCCTCCCTCCCCGGAAACCTCCCAAGTGGACTGGAATAGTGCGGGGGTCGGAATGCGCCGCATCGCCGCTGCTTCACCGATGTGTCGGCGACGTCGGCGATGCGTCGGCGCTGTCGGCCTGGAGAATACACGGCACCACATCGAACCGCATCGCCGACGCATCGGCGATGCGGCTCGGTTTGGTGCCGACTGGTACGCCTTGCCATCGCTCGGACGGCCATTTCCCGGTGCATGTTTCGGTTTCGTGCGTCTATTTGTGCAACGAAATGGGGCAAGATGCGCCTCGACGGTCCTCACCGGGACGAAATGCACAAGTCCGAGCGACGCCCAAACGCTGGTGAATGGGGTGCCTGGCAGCGGCGACGCTCCAAACCCTGCCGCGCTGGAGCGGGGAACGGCAGGTGGGCGGGAGGACGACGGCGAGGAGGAGGACCAGAGGGGGGGGGCGAGGGGCACAGGGGGAATACGGACCGGAACAGCTACTACATGACGATGACAAAGAGGTGAGGAAAGGGACGAAAAAGAGAAGAAAAATTAGGAAAAGGGGGAGGAGGAGGTGGTGGAAAACAAGGCTGGAAAACGAGGACGAGGAGGACGAAACGAACATTGGGGGGAGGACGGACGGAGGAGGAGGAAACGGAGGATAATGAGGAGGACGACGACGAAAATGACGAGGAAGAGGGGGAGGACGAAGAGGAAGAGGAGGAGGAGCAGGGGGAGGAGGAGGAGGTTGAACAGGAGGAGGAGGACGACGACGAGGACAAGGAGGAAAAGCAGAGAAGGAGGAGGAGAAGGTGGAGGAGGGGGAGGAGGAGGGAGAGAGGGGGAGGAGGAGGAGGACGAGGAGAACGAAGAGGGGCATAGTGGGAGGACGGGGGGGGAGAAGGAGGAGGAGGAGGACGAGGAGGGGCATAGGGGGAAGACGAGGAGGAGAGAAACAGAAGGAGAAGGAGGAGGAGGAAAAGGAGGAGGAGAGCGAGGGGGAGGAGGAGGAGGAGGAGGAGGAGGAGGACGAGAAGGACGAAGAGGGGCATAATGGGAGGACGTGGGGGGAGAAGGAGGAGGAGGAGGAGGAGGGGGAGGACGAGGGCTAACAGGGGCATGGGGGAACACGGGGAGGAGAGGGGGAGGAAGAGGAGGACGAGGAAGAGGAGGACGAGGAGGAACACGACGACGGAGAAGATGAAGACGACGGGAAGGAGGAAAAACTATCAGCTCCCGGCCGGTACTCCCCTCCCTTCTGGGGCCGGCCCTGCTGTCACGCGTATCGCACCAAAGTATGCCGGTGGTCTGCTCGGTGTGGAACTGATCGGAGAGCCACCGGAGGTGGCCTGCCATGCTGTGCTCTGAAGGTGACACACAAAATCCATGGCGATGGCCGCGAACACGGACATCCCGTTCAGGACCAGGGTTGCCGGCATGGCGTAGCCGCCCTCCCCTCTCAGCTTTCTGATCTCCACGGCTGAGACTGGGCCCCAAATCATCTCGCAGAGCGTGAGAACGTAGGCCTGCATGCCATCAGCTGCGCCGCGCGCTGCGAGCAGCCCGGTGCCGAACGAACACCCACACACAAGTTTGTGCGAGCGGCCCACGGCGTCGATCAAGTGGCAGACTGCTTTGGCACTTGCCGAAGCGCAAGTGAACGGCGCCTCTTGTGCCGCGCCCCGTCTCCTCCCACTTCTCGGCGACCCCGTCGCTGCGCGCGCAGATCTGGCCAGCGCGTTCCATTGCATGAGAGGTGACGCGCGCCATGGTCCTCAGCATGGCAAAGGCCACATAATTGGGCTGCGTAGCGCGTCGCATAAGCGGTTTGTTCTCGGCCCGCTGCAGAGCCACAACGCACGCTGCGACGCGGCGCTGGGCGAGCGAAGCGCGAGCCCCTGCTCCGAGCAAGGACGCGAAGAGGTCGGGTAGTTGCCCCCCCGCGGGCTCGTCGGCCTTCGCTTTCACCAGATCGTCGACTTGCCTGGTCGGCGCCATGGCGACGACGCGCTCGTCCTGGTCGAGCGTCGCGGCGCCTTCGCCGCAGCGGCGTCGGTGGGCACCGCAGTTGGTGAAGTCGTAGGTCCCCCTTCATCCTGCCGAAGATCGACGTGGCCGACGAGCTGGTCGACGTGCTCCTCGTGCCCAGCGATCTTCAGGTCGTCGACGCGCCTGGACAACATGGGCACAAGCTTACAATCTCCAGCATCACAGTTGCTGGATGCCTCGTGCTTGACCTCGAGCCCCGGGCCCCACCTGGCGGGCGCGGCGTCGCGCTCAGTTGGGCGCGTGGAGCGGGCGAGTTTCATAAACAGCTACGGGCGCGTCCTTGCAACCCGAGACCGGCATGATGTGGCGCAGGCACTCGGCCATCTCGTCGAAGGACTCGCGGCCGGGCACCTGCCTTAGGATAGCTGCGCTGCGGGGCCGCGAATTGAAATTCACCTCGCGTGGCGCTTCACCCTTTCCCTGCATCTCGGCATGCGCGATGTCCGGAAAAAACGCCTTGCCTACGTCTACGTCGACGTAGGACCACGCCCGGGCGGCCCGCCGTCTCCGAAACAGCACGCGCTGCGAGGCGCGCGCTGCCCTTGCGAATTCTCCAGGGCGCCGGCGCCCATGTCGTGGAGGTCAAGAGCGCCGCGCGGCGCCGGGTGATCCACGCGGCACGGCCGTCGAAGCCCTTGCTGCGCTTCCGCGTGAAGACGAGGCTGGAAAGCTTGACGCCTCGGGCGCCCTTGAATGGTCGCCGCTCGAATGCTTGGAACTTGGCCCAGACGGTGGCCTCCTCGAGGATGACTGCGGACACCTCCTCGGGCAGCCTGGACACCTTGTCCATTGCCGACAGATAAGCGTCGCGCTTGATGACCACGATCTTGACGGCGGTGCGCATGCGAAAAACGGCTGCGCAGGAAGCGCCGGCAACGCAGTTGCTGGGCGCTCCCTGGCGAAGTTTAGGAATGCTTCGCGCGCCCCTAGGTCGAGGCGTTTAGTCTTCATAGTTCGTCCGCCTCGCGAAATTCAGCGCAGTCGGCTCCAGCATCCACCTAATTATGGAAAGGCTTCCTCGGCAACGTCGCACTCGCGAACATAGTCCGTCTTACGCGGGCGCCTCAAGCGGCGACGTAAATCCGCCGTGGATGTCGGGCTCTCGAGGTTGCCGAATTGCTCGTTGATCTACAGCATGTTGGCGGCAAAACGCGCGGCTTTCCTCCGCGCGCCAGCGCGCCGATCGCGGAGTCCGAGCGCCCGCCGGCGAAAGGCGACATAGTCCACGCCGGCCGCGGCGGGTCGGGCACAGCCGCGACGGATCGGCCTGATCGTTGATGAAATAGTTGCCCAACTCCAACTGTAGTCGCGCTATGTGGCCGCGAAGCCGTCCGCGTGGGGCAGTGCCTTGGCGCGAGCGCAGCCCCGTGTCGTAGTTGAGCATGAAGTTGCGCGTCGCCCAACGACCGAATGGTCGGCGCACGGGGGCCATGATGGCAACTAGAGGCCAGCGCTGTCGCACGTACCTCTCCGCTGCGCGCTGCTGGCCATCATCGTTGGGGTCGCTGCCGGTGACCTAGTCGAAGCCCTCATCCGCTCTGACGCCAGCGTCAGACAGCGTCAGTCAGTCAGACTCTCCCCGCCGCAAGCTTCGATGATGGCGACGCCGTGGCCGAGCGTGGTGAGACAGGTGAGGAGGCGGCGGGCGGCGTCGAACTCGTTGCGCTGCGATGTCGTTCGATCACTAGCCAGGAGGCGATCGATCCGACGGCAGATCCGATGACCTTAACAAAAAACGCGCAGGGCAAATTAAGCGAGCACGCAGTGGAGTTCGTCCTCGTCGCACTCGCTGGAGGGACTCGGCTGGCCAATGGCAGGCGCGCCAAGGAGGCGCGGTAAGAGGCGCGTGAATTCTGAGCCACAATCGTCGCCGCTGCCATCTGCAACCAGCGCGAGGGCTACAGGCGCATGGCCTTTCTATCTTCTTCTTCCGACGCGCGCTTTGCTGCAGGATAGGCAGCGGCAACGCAGTTGCCAAATGCATTCTCTTCGGCAGCGGGGTCGGCACTGCCAACAAAATTGCCCTTCGCCCCCACGCCGGTCAACGCCCAGTTAACCGTGTAATTGAAATAATGTCGCGCTTGTCTGGATGTTCCCCAAATCGCACTCTCCTCGATGATCCTGCACTGGAGTCCTAAGCGCGCAGCGTGGCGCGGCGGAAGTGCCGCGTGAAGCACTGGATGTGCCACGTGACGTCGCGCTTGCTAGTCCCCAGATGACAAGACGTAATGCTCGGGTCTTGTGCTGAAGCCGCTGCTGATCCTCATCGTGAACGTGCCCCCCCAGG